CCACCACCACAGCCACTACCACCACCACCACCGAAATCATCAACATCACTACCGTCACCACAAAATCACCAAGCCAACCATCATCAACTAACCAGCAACAAACCACCATCAACTACCCCACCCCCATCCATTCCATTCCGGGAAAGCGGCGTCACTCAGACTCGCCACGCTGCGCAAGACAAAATGCGGAATGGAGCAAACGGAGTTGAGACAAAATAACGCACGGCGTTCATTTGCCCTGTGCGGTATTTTAAATCTTACGATGTTTATTGAATCAAAGACGACAAACTGAGTCTGGTGTCGTGTTTTAAAAGGTGACTGCGGCGTTGCTTTGTGTCTCTCTTTTGTTTGTAAATGCCGTCACGACGGTTAAACGTGAGAAAAAGCACAAAAAGATGGGATCAAACAAGACACTTGGGTTATCCTGAGAATAAGGCGGCTAAACAATAAAATAAACCGTCAAAATAAAAACACTTCGCGAATACCATCGAGGGAAAAGGGAAAAAAAATTAATAAGTGGAATGCAGCAAAATGCGAGAGAGAAATAAATCTTCTGACTCCGGTCCACTTGGTGGGTGATTCCAGTTGCCGGATCTTGCGAGCCGCCACGTTACGTAAAGCGCCATCGCGGTTCCCACTGCGCGTCACGTACACAGCCGAAACGTCTCGCCGCCTCCTCTTATTTTACCGACTTATCTTGGCGACAACTGCATCGGCGCAATTAACAACAACAGCAGCAGCAAAACTCAACATTCGACAACAGCACTTTTGCGTGGCCTTAACACGGAAACGAAGGCGACGCGTGGGGGAAATGGCCACATTTTTCACCAGGAGACTTCACGATACAACCATAGGAGTCCGATGATTGCATTTAAAATATAAATTGATTAATAACAGTATTGAAATTGAGGTATGAACGGTTGTCGATGAGCGAACGGGTTGTTTTTAATTACCGTATGTACCCGACTAGCGACGCACCTAAAAGTAAGACGCATGTCCCCAAATCGTCTTGGGGGGGGGGTATTTAAACAAAATGTGTGGTGGGGCTTTAATGGGGAGAATACGGTACCGTGCATGCCAGAAGATGATTCTGAACACGCTGCTGCTGCCGCTGCTTAAAGATGGGCAAGAAGATGTCTTCCGGAAGAATAATTATGAACGAGATAAGATTTATTCAGAAAGATCATGCGTAAGAACTGTGTCTCCTGGCTTGTTACTTTGCATTTCTTACATTATCCACGACGACGACTATTGTCTCGGGGAAGATCGTGCGTAATAAAGATGAAAACATCTTGGAAATTATGTATTCTCAAAACTTGGAAACACTTTTAATAATATAATTCATGACTACGAATAATCGGCCACGTTCGATTGATTCCCGGCTACGGCTAACATCAGTGGCGTGTGATATCAGAACCGGACTTAGAGCTCCCCCCCACCCTTCTACTCACACTGATCAGCGTGGTGAAGTTAAGATCAAACAAACTCAATGACCGACACGACGTGGAGACATCCATCCAGCAGTGGATTGCCATCAATCCCGCTCAACGATTCCATGCTCACAATTCGATTGGAAAAAACGACTTAATTGTTTTAATCGATCTAGATTGGTTTTAATCAACAGTTCAGCCAACACGCCGGTTAATGTGAAATGCAACATAAGTGTAGAAAAATCGCAAATATTCCAACTATTGTTACACGTCGTTGTTGAGGAATCGAATCTACCAGTGTCGTCTCATCCATATTGTGTTCAACCACCACATAGCAACAACACAACACTGACTCAGCCACTCCACCACCCACCTAACTGACTCACCCGCTCACCATTTACTGCCGCTGCTCACTTCTTTTCTGCTCCTTACCTCGCCTGCTACACTTTGGAATTCCTCTCCTCCCATCGTCTCCATCCCCACGTTCTTAAGAGCCTCGCTAAATTTGAGAAACGCGTTCACTCTTATCTCCATGGATACAATTTTGACGCTGTTTATTGCTGGCCGCTTGGCGTTTTTTTTTTGGGGGGGGGGGGGGGGCTGGGTTCAGCTGCTGTAGATTTCTACATGATATGCCACTTAATTGGGCTATCATTTGTGGCCAGGTCGCTTCTGAAAAAGAGATATATAGAGCCTAGTGGGCCTTACCTGGTACAATAAAAATGACTAAATAAAAGCCCCATAATACTGTATAACTCAAGTTTACTTTAATAATGTATTCAACAACGGATTTGATTTGCAAGTTGAAAGTAGTTTTTGTGTGTGTAACCAGGTGAGAACTCAAGAGACTAGGGTTAGTCTCTATATTGGCTTGACTCACCCGGGTCACCAAATGATAAAAAAAACACAAATAATGTTTCTATATGGCAGACTGCATCAACAAGCATGCAATGATTCCAAATCCACGTGGATTTAATCGATTCGATCGATTCAATCCACGTTAAAATTACAGTATACTCCCGTGCACGGATTCACCATATACGTAACATAAAAGTTGGAATCTAATTAAATCGATTAATTGATCGGCAGTCCCAAACTCGTATTTGAGCGCATGTCGAAATTATGTGGCCACACAATTTAACTCAACTAAGCAAGTCAAAATGTTGACTTTCAGGACAGCCGATACACACGTTAACGATTCCAACCATCGATGGCCAGTGGAAATTCAATGCTCGATTAATTGACTTCAAAAATAAAACTAAGATGATACTCTTTGTTTTTTCGGTAAAGTCACGTAGGTGAAACAATAAATGAAAATAAATGAAAACAACTACATTTATTTTATTTATTTATTGTTTTACCTCCGTGAACTTTACCGAAAAAACCAAAGAGTATGAATCCTTGCCGTCACGAAATCTTCAAATCTAAAACTAAGATTGTTGAGAATGCTAGCGCCTCTAGTGGCTGTGTGTGGGTCACGTCCATGAGTTTGTCTCACGATCCATCGGTTTGTTAAGACATTATGGATCGTTAGCCCACGACTTGACCACCTTCTGGCATATACGCTCAACACATCCCGTCAATAACTGTGACCTTAAAAGGAAAACATACAATAGGCAACGTTTCGGGCAACAGCTCCTTCTTCATAGGAGATCAAGAGGGGCCAGAGAGATACAGAGTGGGATTATAAGAGTTGGAAACCGCACTCTGTAAACCATGGAGATCCACCTCCCTCGTCACATGAGGAAGTCACGATTCGATTTAACAATCGACTTGTATTGCCAATTTCGCCGTCTCACCTGCATTAAGTCTATGTTCTGTCTCGTTTGTCCAGTTTTGGTTCGCTCCCTTAACTGAAATGTAACATCGGCTTAGAACTTCGTAAATCGATGTTAGATTTCTCACGAGCACAATTCTGTGCGTGTATCGTGAGCACAGGCATCTAATGTATTCGACTAATCAACCAATAATAATATAATTTCACGTCGAAATCGCCTCTCTACGACACTCGCGGTGACTTCACGTCTGTGAAAGAGACCCACATGAATCGATCCGATTCGTTAATCGATACTTTTAACATCGCGAATGCAGCGCCTCCAGTGGCTGAAAGGGGCATCACGTGAAGCCATTTACGTGCGACCAACACCACGGCCATAGAGATGGCAATGCACGAGATTCGAAAACACTAATCTCCACTCACCACATCGATTAAAAAAAATCGATTAACCGATGGATGTTTGCTCCACCTACTCACGGGGACTGGTGGGCGGTACAGCAACGGCGGTGGATTCAACGCACGCCATTCTAACTTGGATCCTTGCACCCATCTGTGCGGATGTTTTCCGAGTGTCGTGTGTGTGTGTGTGTGCGAAGCCACAGTCTCACGAACAATGTCATTCAAGGCCAAACATCCCCAACCAATGCACCATGACCCTCCTGAGCAGATGGGTGTTGAGACTCAGCGAGGCTACCCCGGGTTAATAAAGGGACCATTGCTGATGTGCATTACTTTTGAAAGCTTGTTTTACTCCGAGGATACGTTGACATTGTACAACACACAACACACTACCTCGTCACCACCCTTCAAAAGGGGCTGTGAATGATTATTATTATTCATGCAATGGATTAGAACGCTAAGCACAAGTCGATGTTTCAATGCAAGAGATTTCGTCTCTCGTAATTGAAGTGGATCAGCAGCAGTATGTTGTCGTAGGTGTCCCTTTAAGAGAGGAGCAATTGGGGATAGTGGGAATACACAAGCAGACTGTCACGTTTGTAACTTTTTTTTAAACATCGCCCGTTAAAACACATACACAATTGTATAATAATCAGCCGTGGTCTGTCCATTGCACGATTAATTCATTCCAGTGGCCGCTATACCATCCATTCTCACTCCTTGCACTTGAACAACCGATTGTCATCGTTACACTCCAACGCGTTAAAAGAGTTACGCAAACGTGTTGTCGTTTAACGATTAATCGATTGAAGATCTATTCTGTGGCTCACGCTCCTTAGTGCAGAATCGTGCCCGAGAAATCGATTTAAAAAACGGTGTTCACCACGTTATTACGACACGCCAATGATTTGCGAATGCGCATTAGCTAGGCGAATGGGTTGAACAGAAACTGTGCAAACAGAACACGGCTATAATAGACTCAACATAAAACATTACAAACGAGACGGGACGTGGGGGAAAGACAAAAAACACGAGACACAAACACTCGATCCATTTCTGAATCCGACCACGACTCCGGGAATCGTGACAGTTCATTCAAAAGTCTTTCAACATTCGCGAAACAACCCTCATTTCGTCAATCGTGTTGGGGTTTATTTGACCATACTTCACCACGCTGGTCAGTGCGAGTTCGCAAAACAGAGGGGGGGACAGGCACAGAAGTACAGTACAACCAAGGTATCCTCAATTGAACCAATGCCCAAACACTCAAGTCTCATGAAACCCACCACGAACGTATCCCACTCTAAGCACAATCTCTGTCTTGATATTTTGTTGTTCAAAGTGGCCACTTTGCTCTGTGTGTGGGGGGATTTAAATGCCCACACTCCACTCACCTCGTGTGACGAACAAACTCCGGACTTTGTCTTCTTGGTTTTATTTCTTTTTCAACTAAAAAAAAAACCCCAAAGCACCACGCAAAATCTTTTTCACCCTCCCCAACCGGCTAAAATAAAAACTCAAAACAAGAATCAACTTTACATACGTGTACAAAAAAAATAGCTTGTTTTGTTCGAGAGCTCAAGGGGGGGGGTTGAAATTAACTTACAAATACTCTCCCGATCACTTTGCCCTAAGCCACCACTGCCACCACCACCACGGCCTCGTCGTCTGTGTCTAAGAGGGCTTCTCCCACGGCCACTCGGGGCACGCGAAGCCACGAAACTGCTGGGTGGGGGTGGGTGGGGGTGGGGGGGACTTGTGAAGTCATTTCTTTGATTGGCAGCCCCAGTGCTGACGTCTCACCCGTAGCCAGGGGCAACCGCGTTAATTATTCATATCCCGTCGCTGCCATTGGTCAGGGGGGCTGTTTCGTTTGCGAGGCCCCGCCCACATTCCCTCCCCTTCCCCCCTCCCCCCCACCGCCGCCGCCACCGACGCCGCCACTCCCCGAGTCGGCCACTCGGTGGAGCGAGCCGAGAGCGGGCGGGGGACTGGAGCCGCGATGGAGGAAGGCGTGGGGGTGCTGGTGGTGGATGAGGGTGGAGACCCGTGCCGCCATACACGTGGGGTGGGATGGAGGGAGGGAGGGAGCCGCACTGTATATCATGCTCATGCTGCTGCTGCTCGCTAACAACAACTGCGCTCACGGCGTTGAGTTTCATGGAAGCACCACCCCCCCCTCCCCAATGCCACCGCCGCACGCTGGCAGAAAAGAACAAACATTAAAAAAATGATCACGATCATCGGTTCAGGGTTGTTATGGTCGTCGTGTCGTCGTTTGTGGTTTTCGCGTCGATTGTTGACTGCCGGTGTGAGCCTCGGCTACTTTTCGTCGTGTACTGATCGATTGATCCGCCATCGACAGCTTTTGATTATGGCTGCTGCTGCTGCTGTTGTTGTTGTTGTTCCGTGATGGTCTCCCCCGTTGGGAGTCTCGGTTGAATTGGCAATTCTCGAGCCCCCCATCCTCTTCCCCCAGCGGCGTTGGCCCAAGCGAAGGAGGTAACAACCCCGACGATAACGCAGCGATACGGCGGTCGTAGTGGTACTACAAGTCTTATGGTGGAATTGGGGGGCCATCCATTTAGTACGTGCACATGGAGAGAGAGGGGGGGTCTACTCACAATGTTCGGTACGCATAGGGGTTGGGGGATGAAGCCTCGATAATAAGTCGTCTACATTGGCCTTCGAATGAGTTGGATCGTCCGGTGGTAGACTATCTGTTGGCTTAAACACGTTAATAGTATTAATCCTTCATCGTTTCTGCGTGGATTAAACATTGGCCGTTCTATAGGATTCGGGGGGGGCGGGTGTAAAAAGTCCGCGTGTGTACAGGGAAGAGGGGTCAAGTTTGACAGATTTTTGCGGACCTACTAAATGGATGGCCCCTTGGTTCATTGGTGACACTGTGAATGTTGCGAATACAATCATCTAAAATTCCCAATCATCGTCACGAAGGGGTCATCGCCGTCGTTTTTCGCCGGTCGTGGTTGTGTCAACGTGGCCAATGTCTCTCGCTTTACGTCGAATCCGTCACTAGCCACCGTCTCTCTCTCCTCCCTCGTCAGCGTCCAAACATCGCCGCGTCTACGGTGGACTTGAGGACGCTGTCACTCGACTCATCATCTCGGTTATAAGTCCACATCATCGGCACAATCCACCACAGGCGGTGACAATGGTTGTTGTGCATTGGCCGGTGGCTTCAAGCGAATGTGTTTCGCGTCAGTTGTCGTCAGATCAGTTTCCACTGTCAGAATGCATTAATACAGACATCCAGCAACTCCGAATTAGCGTGGTTGGCCATGGTACAGGGCAAAAGAAGTCCAAACATCCATAGGCACCGTCTCGGTTGTGATGATGTCCACGGCTTTCGAATGTGTCCCTTGAAATCTCATATCGATTCTGCCACGAGCCATCTCCACTGTCACCATCCATCACTGTGAGGATTATCACCGTTTCGCGGTGGATTCGTGAACGAGTCGCGTGTGAATGATCATCCTCGGTTCTCTCCCGTCACGAGTCATCATCTATCTCGCCACTGTCTTGAGAACCGTCATTACCCGTGGCCCATCCATCACTGCCACGAATATGACGATCGGTGGCGTCTCCGTGAATGTGTCACTTGATTTGTCATCTCAATTATCGCTGTCGCAAGCCATCGTTTGTCATCACCGATGTCCGCGATTTGTGACGACGGCCGCTCACAGCATTCGTACGGCGTGAGACAATGAAATGATTCAATTGTTCTTAAGCACACGGTGCGTGTATAGAATCGTGCGTTTATAATTCCAAGCGATTCGGCTGCTAATGTAGTTTTAAGCAAACGTTGGAGAAAAAGACATTACAAACAGCAGAGACGAGTGGAGCGTACGGGACGGACGGTACAAATGACACGAGACGGATAGAAACTGGACATAAAATGACAGTACAAACTAGACGACTAGGACACACGAGGCAGCAAGTACAAACATGACAGGCAATATTCAAACAACGTCGGAGAGGCAAAGTTAACGAGACGCAGCGTATGCAAGTCAGCACAAACCCGACAAACTGTGCAAACGAGAAAAAAAACCCACCCCCCCCCCCCATGAATTGATTCTTTAATCGATTCGATATCCCAAATCGTGACACATTTTCGTCGATGTTTACGGCAGTGCGTTGTCGTTCCTACACCGTTCGTTCGTGGTTGTTTGCGTGAATGTTTCACTTCCCTTACTGCCTCTACTGGGCCACGTTATCATTATATACAGTACTTAAAAAAAATACGCAATCGACAACTACCATCCCACTGCTCTCTTGCACTTTTTCAAAAGGTGGATGTGAAAACGTGTCGAGTCAAACACGCGAACATCAAGATTCCATACCCTTATCAGTGCCCTAACCTATTACAGACCAATTCGGACCTTATTGGTCACCCCGTGCCCTTATAAATCTCAACGTTCATCCTACAAAGTCCCATCACAAGGGAGATACACAAACAAATAGACACATTTTTTTTGCCTGTCTTGAAACGGCTGTACGCCGTATGGATTTGAAAACTCAATTTCCCTGTACAATAATACGGCTAAACCGTATGGGTTGAGAATTTCGAAAAAAAAACTGGTAGTTTTAGATTTCCCCGTGAGATTTTGTTTGCTGTGTGGCAATCGAGGGAACGAAACGAGCCCTACCTCGTCAGATCTCGCAAGCTCAGCAGCGATTTTTGTTTGGAAAGCCTGGAGAGTTTTTTTCGAACGGGCAAACACCATACTACGTGCAAAGCGTGTTGTATGTAGGCTGCTGTGGGCTCGATGTCAGCAGAAAAAAAGCCCAATTGTATTGTTAGGTTTTTTCGGTAAAGTCACGTAGGTAAAAAATTAAAATGAATAAAAGTTAAATAATACAGCAATCGTGCTGTGACGGTTCCACCTGAAGACGGAAGCTTGTGTTGCCTCCGAAACGTCGTGATTTTTATTTTATTTTACTTTTATTAATTTAAATTTTTTACTTACGTGACTTTACCGAAAAAAACCCTAAGAATATGAATGCTTGCAGTCACGAAAGCTTCAAATCTAGAACCAAATTGTTGTATTGTACTACGTTATGGACCCCCCTCGGTTCCACGCTTACAACAACCCGCATTGGACCAGTGCGGTGAAGTTACGTTCGGGCATAATACGGAACACAACATGGTAGTACATGTTGTTTACGTCGTTTATTGTGAAAATTCGGTCACAGTTCCTATGATCACTGTTTCATTGCTTTTATGGCTTAATTTTAGTGATTTTTGAAAAGTTTTTCGGTTTGGCCATGTTTGTTTGTTGTAGTACAGAGTTAGACTGATGGCCTTAATATAAGTTGTCTTGTGGTTGTTGTTGTTGTTTGACTTGCATCCCACTGGAATTTTTGCACACAATGTTGGTGTACGGTGCTTTTTCTGCAATATTTTGCTGTCTTTTCTTGGATTTTCTGTTTGCACATAGTCACTTTAAGATGTTTTCTTGTTCATGTTTTTGTTTTTTTGTTTGTTGCGGTTGCACCCGATTCAAGAGCCGAATGGCTCACAGGGCTATACCAAATAAATGAAACTTGAAACAAAGTAACGGCCAAATCAGCCAGAAACGAAGATGGTGTACATGTACTTGTGCCGTCATTTTGACAATCCACTGCTGGATGAGGGCCTCCTCGCGCTTGAGCGGGTTTTAAAGTGTGGGTTAATCTGACCATACTTCACTTTGCTGGTCAGTGCGGGTTGGTGACTGATGTAAATTCTCGTGGTGTTCTCAAACGTGCCAGAGAGACCACCGAATGTGCAAATATAAAAAAGTGTTGAGTCTATATGATTATAAGCTGAACAATTTGGAAAACCAACATTCTCAACTTTGGGTCCCCCAAAAATTACATCTCAAACGAGTGCTTTCCCTAATCGGAAAGGGTAAGTCTATAAAGTCCCACACATTGTCTTAAGTCTCGTGCCAAGCACTAACTACCACAAACCCACAATCGGTGAAGCAAGTAATACGCATCCCTCTGGGTAAGCGTGACGCTCAAGCCGAGAGAAAGCTCGTGACAGGTCATTATCATTGACCTGAAATACATACCGTATCATCTTAGTTATGAATGTGTTCACATCGTTACAAAGATCATGTAAAAAAACACTATACTGCAGTCATACAATGCATACTACTCGGTATACCGATGTACGAACGTGTTCACAAAATGTACTAGCGAATACTGCCGTGAAACACACTTATTGCGTACTGTGTTAGACACAGTACTCGATACTGCAGTTATATAACAGTTGTACACGATATCCGTGTCATTGTACTGGGCACACAACCACTGCGGGTATCGCGTTGCCCTCTGACTCACAAAGCAACCGGCGGTGAATATAGCGGCCTCTAGTGGATGCATGGTTACCCTGAATCGGACAAACGCATGTGCACGCACCTTAAAAATATTGAATGTTTTACCCCGTGCCTATACGATTTAATTCGCGCATCGCGAGTTAAGGTATCCGAATCATCGGCGAAGCATCGTTCGGCATCCTTCCAGCCTCTAAATGCCACGAATGACTTGATTCAAGGCCCCTTTGGAAATCCGCTGCTGGACGAATCTCCTCCCCACCACCACTCTTGTCTGAAAGTAGGGACAAGGGTCAGTGATACTGGTAGGAACCTCCTGGTTCCACCAGCCCACAGGGGATTATTGTGTCCGTCGTGCAGGGAGGGGCTGG